GGTCTCGAACCCGCGGGCTCAGGCAATCCACTCACCTCGGCCTCCCAAAGTGCTGGGATTACAGGCTGAGCCACCGAACCTAGCCTTTTAAAAAAATTTATTAACCTGGCCTTTTAAAAAAATGTATTGTAGAGATAAGGCCTCGCCAAGTTGCCCAGGCTGGTCTTGAACCCCTGGTCTCAGGCAATCCTCTCACCTTGGCCTCCCAAAGTGCTGGGATTGCAGGCTTGAGCCACCGTGCCCGGCCCTCATTTGTGATCTTTTAATAGACCCCCACGGTTTTGTCTCCCAGTTGTAAAAAGTACCACTGTTCCAAGTGCACAAGGACTCTCCTCGGTTAAGGTCCGGTCCAGGAAGTCGAGGGAAGGTGACTGGTGAACACGTCGAATGTGACAGGAAACGCTTCCCTGACGATAATGTTCAGATTTGCCTGTTTTCCCAAAGCCCATCACCGACTCCCACCCGGAGCCCACCTATGCATATTTCTGGCCTCACTCTGCTCTGTGAATCCCAGGGCGGGAGGCAGAGCAAGACTGAGAGGCCTCAGAATCTGGAGGTGCAAGCCCCCCCCCCCGAGGCTCAGGGCAGGTATGGTTGAGGCTGGAGGCTCAGCCTCTCCAGATGGTTTCTCGTTGGTTCGTGTGCAGAGCAGCTGGCTGGCGCCGTGGAGCCAAGGCCTTGCAGCCCTGCCAGAAGTTCTGGGACTTTCTGGGAGGTCAGGCTCCAGGCTGTTTCCTCCCAGAGGCAGCTGCTGGGACTTGGTCCTGGTGCCCTTCCTTCCCCGGGCAGGGGAGGATGCCCGAGTCCGAGGGATGACTGTCACCCCACCTGCCACCACCCCAGACCCGCCTAGGAGTCTGCCCCTTGGCCCTAGCCAGCTTAGGTCCCTGAGGCGCTCCAGTGAGTTCCGGCTCCTCCCAGGGCCTAACCCCACAGCCACACAGCAAAACAGTGCCGGGCCTCCAGAGATGAGGTGGGAGGGGTGGGGAGCTAAGGGCTGGGAGCGTCCTAGCACCCTGTCGGCCAGATCTGTCCACACACGTTGCCCCAGGCCCTGGCAGACAAGCGAACAGACCTGCCCGGGCACGAGACTCAGCACCAGGGGGAAGCTGGCCCACAGAAGCCATGAGAGTTGCCCGAGGTCTCGCGGCCAGCGAGGGCAGAGCTAGGGCTTGAACCTGGTCCTCGGACTCAGCCAGGGCTCTGAGCACCACGCTGGGTTGCAGTTACAGATTTCTTCTGTGGAGGCTGGGGCTTCAAGGCAGGGCGCTGTCGCCCAGGACAACCTGACCCTAGTGAACAGACCGAAAGAAACACCACAGTGCCACCCTGCCTCCACCAGGTAGGACCATTCATGGTCCTTCCCTTTCTCTGGGGGGGGTTTCCCCTTTGTGCATTAGGTAGAAGCGAAGGCTCCTCACAGAAATGTTGGGAAGAGGCTGGGCGCGGTGGCTCACGCCTGTAATCCCAATGCTTTTGGAGGCCAAGGCGGGAGGATTACTTGAGGCCAGGAGTGCTATGTTCAGACAGGACTGGACAACATAGCAGAATCCCTGTATCTACACACACACACACACACACACACACACAAGCCAGGTGTGGTAGTATGTGCCTGTAGTCATGGCTACTAGGGAGGCTGAGGCGGGAGGACAGCTTGAGCCTGGGAGATGGAGGCCATAGTAAGCTATAATCATGCCACTGCACGCTAGCCTAGGCAACAGAGTAAGACCCTGTTTCTTAAAAAAAAAGAAGAAAGAAAGAAAGGTGAGGACGTGTGCTGTGTGCCG